AGTGATTTTAGAAATCATGAAGCCAAGCCCTGTTATTCTACAAATGAGGAAAGTGAGGGCCAGAAAGATTAAATCACTCACCCAATATCACAATGATAGGAACTGGTAGCACAAAGATCTCAACTCATGTCCCTTGACTCTAAATCTAACACTCTTTCCACTCTACTACCCATGACAATAATAGGAATCCTAGCTAGTGTGTGTATTTACATACATATATATCTTATGTGTAGCTACATACATATGTATATATGTATATAGATATAAAGTTTTAAAATTTACAAAGCACTTTATATACATTATCTTGCTTTATCCATAGCTTTGACCTCTTTAGTACCATGCTTTATCGTAATAATCAAGCTAACTAAACACGGCTAGGTATTGTAGACATAACATAGCAAGACATTTTGTTATGCCCAGTGTTATTTGTATAGAAACAGCTGACTTCATCTCATTTCTCCTTTATGCTGTTAAAGAGAGAGGACTGAATCTCTTTTTTAAAATATCTATAGGTGTCAGTTTCAACTTGCTACTGTTGTCCCTTCTTTTCTTCATAGCAATCTGATTTTCATGTATTACTCCAACTCTAGCCTGCTTGGCTTCTGTTATGGATTAATGTATTTTGGTATAAGCATAATAGTGAAATAGATAAAGTATTCTTATTATGGGAGTGAGATACTAATCTTATCATATATGTGGGAGAAATAAATTTAGTTGAATCCTTGAAATAGTAAATTGCTTAATAATGATTTTATACAGGGCACATAAAATTTTTATGATTAAAATAATAACTGGATAAATCTTTTTGTGAAAATCCATACAGTTTTTGTAAAAAAAAAAGATTATATAAAAACAGGTTTACTGATTTCCCTTCAAGAACCTACCCATCATGTGAGAGGAGGTTTTCCTCTATGTCTTTTTACATTGAATGCAATGACAATACTATATGAATTAATTTACAGATTCAACGGTATGCCAATCCAACCAACATTACTGCAACAAAGTAAGTGAAAAGCTTTCTAAAACAAGATGGAATAATGTGCAATCATAGTGAACCAGATTGTAGTGAATCCAGGGTGCATTAGAATAAGGATGACAGTTTAGGGAGAGGTAGTATGGGCACATGGCTGGCATTGAAGTCTCTGAGGCTGGGAAAAGGAGGAAGGACAAAAACATTGACATAGCACCTACTACAACACCTGCTATGTCTGGCAATGTGCTAAGCACTTTTACAAATATCTCATTTGACACTCACAATGACCTGACAAAGAAGGTGCTATCAGTATCCTTATTTTACCTTGAGGAAACTGAGGCAGACAGAGGTTAAGTGACATACTCAAAGTCATCTAGTAACTAAATGTCTGAGGCCAGATTTGAACTCAGGTTATCCAGACCCTAGGCTCCAGACTCCAGGATCAGTAATCCATCCACTGTACCACTAGCTGTAATGACAGAGATTGAAGTGCCACCCCTTTGAAAGACTGGTATCTAACAAATTCATTGAGAACATCAAAGTGAATACTGTCTTTGTTGTGTGCCTCTACAGTGGGTCATTTTGATGGAGGTCAGTTCTTACAATTCAGGGCTAGGTGTCAAAGCTAGGAAATTGAATTAAATATCTTCTGACCCTAAGCGATATCCTCATTGATTTTGCTTATTTGTCTGTTTTGTTTTACTTATTTTTAATATTACTTGATAGCCTAAGGTTGTTCAAATAATAACCACTGAAAAAACTTGTTGGATGGTTTATAATTTTATTAAAATTTTCTGTTTAATTTAATTCAACAAATGCTTATGAAGTATCCAATGTTTGATGTCACTGTGCTAAGTGCTGAGGATTCAAACTAAATATGATGTAATGATAATAATAACAATAACTCTAGGATTTATACAGCACTTTGTGGTTTGCAAACCCTTTTAAAGTATTATCTCATGTTACCCTTAACAACCTTGGGTCATTCAGTAATTTTAAGTCATGTCTGACTCTTTGTGACCCCCATTTGGGGTTTCCTTGGCACAACTATTTGGATGGTTTGCCACTTCCTTTTCCAGATCATTTTGCAGATGAGGAAACTGAGGCAAGCAAGGTAAAGTGACTTGCCCAGGGTCACAAGCTAGTAAGTGTCCGAGGCAGGATTTGAACTTAGAAATTTGAGTCTTCTTGACTCCAAGCCCAGTACTCTATCTACTGTTCCACCAAGCTTCCCCAACAACCCTAGGAGGGAGATGCTATTATTTTCCCCTTTTTGAAGAGGAGGAGACTGACACAAACAAAGGTTAAGTGACTTGCACAGGGTCATATAGCTAGTCGGTGTCTGAGGCTGTATTTGAAGTCCCCAATCTTGGAGGTTGCAATCTGATGGAAGGAAAGACAAGCACACAATCAATACGCAATATACAAATCCAAATGAAATAAAAGCAAAAGAGAGAGTCAAGGTGTGGGCAATTTGAAGAGATTACCTTTATCTGAAGGGTTTCAGAGAAGGCTTCATAGCTGAGGTGGCAACTGAGGTGGGTTTTGACAGAAAGGAAAAACTTTAACAGAAATGGATGTGTACAACAATTAGTGAAGTGCATTCAAGGCATAACTAAAGGAGTAGAGACTTGAAAGAGATTCAAGAAGAGAGGATGAGAATAAGCAATTGAGAGTAGTACAGTTTACCCAGAATGCAGGCTATGTTCAGATAAATAGAATTATATTAGGCTGGGCAGGGATATTGGAGATGGTTAGTGCCTTAGATGGTAGCATCAATGATTTAGAATGGTTTCAATAGGAGCAATTACAATGTTGTATGTGAATGTCTAGTCTAGACAATGATTAGAACTGGTAGCACAAAGATTTCAATCCATGCCCCTTGAGTCTAAATCTAACACTCTTCCCACTCTACTACCCATGACAATAATAGGAATACTAGCATGTGTGTGTGTTTACATGCATACATACCTACATACACACACACATACATACATACAGATAGATAATGTGTATAAGGATCTTTATGATGGTGTACTAGGAAGATTATTCAGGCAGCAATGTGGAGGATTATTCAGAGAAGAAACATACTAGAGGCAGGAAGATGAGTTAGAAAGCTATTAAAATAAGCTAGGTAAAAAGAAATATACTTGAAAGACAAAGATTCACATAAAGTTAAAATAAGGGACTGGAACAAAATCTATTATGCTTCAACTGAACTCAAAAAAACAAAGGTAGCAATCATGATTTCAGATAAAGCTACAGTAAATATAAACATGAAAAAAGGAGAGACAAGCAGGGAAATTACATTATGCTTAAAAGTAGCATAGATAATAAATTGATATCAATATTTAATACATATGAATCTAATAGCAAGCAAGTAAAACATAAAGGAATGGAGGTCAAAGACATCAGGAATTATCAAAGACTTCTAACCTGCTGAACTTTGCAGTGTTTTTTTTAGTAATTGTAGAAGGAATACTTTTTCCCTTTGGATTAATTCATTCCGAATCCTAAAATCATTTGAAACAGGGAAAAAAAAAAGAAAGACTTTTCTTTCTTTTTTAAACTATGAGAAAAGTGGAAAAGAAAAGTAGATTGCTACATATTTATCCTGGCATCGTAAGATCCTTCTGTTGATCAAAAGATGTTGATTTGCCTAAAAGTTTTTTTTGTGGAGTTTTTAAAAGCACATTTGTGATTAAGATAATTAAACATCTGAAAGTTACTCATTTATACTATTAAAATTATTCTACACATTAAAGAAAATATTCAAGGAATTATTTAAAAAGTATTTTCTTAAATACCAAAACTGATAGGATGCAGGTATGGCAGGCTTCAGAAGAAAATTTGTATATCTGAAAACTTACAATTATAAACTAGAAAAATAGAGGCTCAAAGAAATGATCATGCAATTTAAAGCACTAGAAAATAAATAAAGCTAATAACCCTGAGACAAACCTGAAATAAGAAACCCCAGATATTTAAAGAGAAAGTGTTAAATTTGAAAATGAACTAATAAACTAGACTAAGAGCTGCTTTTTAAAAATACTAACAAAATTAATGGGCCACTAATTAATTTTTAAAGAGAAAAAGGGAAATTAAATCCTCACCTACCCCCACAAAAAAAGAACAAAGTTACAGAGTGAGAATAAAGAGAACTATGAGAAACTATTATACACAATTACAAGCAAATAAGACTGAGGAAAATATGTGTATCTACAAAAATAATATCAAAACCCAAGTTGACAAATGAATAAAGATTTTAAAGAACCTTGCTCAGGAAAAGAAATCAAGCAAACCACAAAATTCCAAAGGAGGAAATGGGGATAAGGATTCTGAATTACATGGATTTAAAAAATGAATTCTATCAACTCTTTAGCAAACAATTTTTAAATATTTAATCATTTAAATTACACTATGATTTCATTGGTGTGACTGTTCCCTCCAATAGTACAGATTTCAACCTTTCTATTTCTGTGCATACTGTTTATATCCTTCCTCAAGACTGAGGCACTAATGTTCAGAGTGCCTTTATCACTTTTTCCTGACATTATGACAATACGGGTTCTGGTTGGTTGGTTTGTTTTTTAATAGAAAAATAGATCAGTGGAAAAGAGTAGTCCAATTTTGGCAAACCCAAAGATGTAAATGACTTGGATAAAGGGCTTTATTGGAAAAGAAGTGAAGAAAATTGAAAAGCAGTCTGGTAGAAATTAAAGTTAAGCCAGCATCTTACATCATAAATAAACTCTTAACATTATAAATCTTGCACTATAAATAAACTTACGATAAACTCTAAATAGATAAATGGTCTTAATATAAAAGGTTATATCTTTTTTAAAAAAGCAAAGAACAGGAAAAGGTCCCAATGAAGTATTCCTAACCTAACAAATGATAAAAGTTATCAGGAATTACAAAACAGACAAATTTAATACTTAAAATTTAGAACTTTTACAGAAACAAAATCAATGCAGATATAATAAGAAAACTGTTAAATGAGGAAATATTTATATGAATTACTTACCGTTAAAATATGACTATGGGCGTGTCATTTCATCTCTCAGTTCTTTCATCTGTAAAATGAGCAGGTTGGCCTAAATGTTCTCTAAAATCTTCCCTAAATGTTTGCTAAATCTTTAATGATGTGATCCTAACAGATAAGTAATAAAAACTTTGAGCAGTTTTCAAAGCTATCAATACCTCCAAAAGTTCAACCATTTTATGAAAACATGTTATAGATCACTAATAATGAGATAAATGAAAACTAATGTATCCCTGAGTCTTTATTTCATACACTAATGATTGGGAAATATCCCAAACAATGAAAAGTCAATGTTGGAGGAAGACCAAAACACTAATACATTGTTGGTGTTATAAATTGTTCCTGGGGCAGCTAGGTAGCACAGTGGATAGAGCACCGGTCCTGGAGTCAGGAGGACCTGAGTTCAAATCCGGATTCAGACACACAACATTATTAGCTGTGTGACCTTGGGCAAGTCACTTCACCCCATTGCCCAGCCAAAAAAAAATTATTCCAATTATTTTGGGTGAATGCTATAATTTTCTTTTCTCACATAGTAGTTTGGAGCTAAACTTCCTCCAAAATCAGAACTCGGATTATTTTCTGGTTCTACAGCCAGAGTATAAACTAATAATCTTCGTGGGATAGAAGTTTTCAGTGAAGGACCAAGGCTAATATATGTTTAGGATCTCTTTCTTCCCCTGCTTGTTCCCCCCATGCTCTCTGTACACCGCCTCTCCATAAAGGTACCAGTGTGGTTTGTCTCAGCAAATGATTCCTTAGTCTTTCCATGTTGCCTTATTCAATTCCAGGTTTGGTTTTCCACAGGTACTACTCCTCACTGTTCATCATGGTCTACCATTCTTCAACCTGTCCATGCTTTCTAACTTTGCTCTTTGTACATGTTCACGAACCTGGCAGCTAAATCTATTCCTTCTCATATTCTCAGCATGAAACAACCTCTTCTGTCACATTCCATGGATGCATTGAGAGCCTGTCTCCCACCTTAGTGAAAAGGGAAGGGAGAGGAGCTGCCCTCAAGCTCGTACCATGCTATAAGGAATAGCTAGATATATAAAAAAGAGCATTCAATCAATTAACCAACAAGCTTTTATCAAGCAACTAATTTGTATCGGACACTGAGTTAGACTCTTGGGATACAAAGACAAATATCAAAACTAAACAATCTGTGTTCTCAAGCTTCTTCTTACATTCTTTTGGCATGAGTCAGGGTCGGGGTGTAGGGAGAAAACATGGGATTAGAAGTTAGGAGATCCATGCTTTTAGTACTAATTCTTCTATAAAATAGTTGTGTAACTTCGAGCAAGCAACCTAGCATCTCCAGGTTTCATCTGTAAGATGGGAAGTTGGTCTAGATCAGGGCTTCTTAATATTTTGTGTGTGTGTGTGTGTGTGTGTGTGTGTGTGTGTGAGTGTGAGTGTGTGTGTGTGTGTGTGTGTGTGTATGTGTGTGTGATGGACACCTTTGACAGTAAAGCCTATGGACCACTTCTAAGAATATTATTTTCCATTTATACTTGAAGAAAATGCTAAATTTTAGCTAGAGGTTCAAAAAATAAATAAAAATATTTACCATCTAGGTTCAAAGACTCCCTGATATGTATCCATATACCCCCTAGCACTCAATGAAACATAGGTTAAGAACCCTTGGAGTATATGATCCCTCAGGTACCTTATAGTTCCAAAATTTCATGACCTTATGGCCTAACATGTATTAAGGCTATCTCAAATGAACAAATGTGTTTTGGGTGGAAAAATTCAGTAGAATCTTTCACTTGGCTTATTTCAATCAAATCTCCTCTATCATACTGTACTTGTACTTCTTATCACCTATTCTATTATTAGTATATATGATATACATATATATATATATGTATATATATATATGTATATATATGTATATATATATATATAACATAGCTATATATATACACCTATATATGGTATATACATATGCCTTATTAATACATACCTTACTAACCTATGGCTTTTCTTCCCTGTACATTTACAGTACCCCATATCCATTTTTTTAATCCATAAAAAATATATGTACTGAATCAACTCTCCCACTACCTTTTTTTCCTGTCCTTGAAACAACAGTCTTTCCACAGAGACATCTTTAGATGGAACGTGCTCTTTCCCTTTCAGGATAGGCAGTTAAAAGAGAGCACAGCAGTTCACTGCTGGATGTGGTAAAGGAAGGAGATATCTAATTAGCGTTCCTCTCCCAGCCCAAATGTCTCCTTCCTTGGCTATCTCCCTCCTACTTCCCTTGAGGAAAAAGTGTTATTCCAGGGTCTTAGGAAGTACCTGCAACTCAAAGGAGATGTCCACAGTGAACTGCAGCTGAAGTAGTTGCCTGGTTCTTCTTCTCTTTGAATCAAAGGTGTGGAAACCTTAAACCTGAAGGAAAAGACAACCTGCATTTAAATTCTGTCTTTCAATCACTTATAAACCATCTTCTTTTCAGATTCTTTCTTTTGGAAACAATCAACTGAGAAATTGAGCAGACTAAAACCCTATCCTCATGATGCCCAGAGCTCCCACACAAAACTACCTCTCATCTTCATGGACAAATGGTACCTTTAAGAGATACACAAAACTACTGAAGGAAGAAATGTTAGACAATCAAGATTTCTATTAACTTTGGCATAGATTAATTTTGTTGTTTAAAAAATGGGGATGGGGGAGAGTGGAAATCCCAAACACTTAATCAATGTTGGCAAGTCTGCTGGTTGACCTAGCCCTTAAATACTTAGATTAGGCCTCTTGCTATACTGGTTTTTGAGTGAAAACATGAAAGAAAGGAGTGGGGGGATTTTTCAACTAAACATGGCATGATAATATCACAATCTCCTGGGCATAGAAGAGGAAACAGAAATTTGTAACTTCAAATTTTCTTTCTGGAAGTCCAGAGGAGTTCAGTTATCGTAAGCCAAACCACTTCCTAGCAGTGGAAGTCTACGGTCAGAGTTTCCGGGGCAGCCCCTTGGTGAATTGCTGGAAGATAGGACAGGACAAAGGAGATCAACTTTGCTGCAAATTGCCTCAGGCAGTTGGTTTCAAGGATCAAGCTCTTCAGGTGATGTTAAACAACAAAAGAATCAAGCGGCAAGCAAGTTTAAAGGCCCATCAAAGAAAACAGCTCTTTCCTTTACTCCTCTAGATGAACATTTTAACATAGTAGAAGTGCTGCTTTTGTGTTTGGCCCCACATTTCTGAGTCAAAACTACAAAATCCTACTACCGTTCACCAGCCAGGATACTCACATAATGGTATCATCGAAATGGAGAGAAAAGTGAAATGTGTACCCAAACTGGTGCGTTTGCAAATATAAAAAATTAAAACCTCTGGTGGGCAACCTACCCCAAACTAACTCTCCGCGTGTCATCTTTCTATTCCACTGAAGTGCAGTTGTAAAGATGATAGGGAATAGACAAGATCAATTTCCTCTCTTACGGAACCAATTATAAAAATTATTATTAATGTTATTATTTTTATTGAGAAATTATTTTATCATATGTCACAATCTGACATTCTCATAGTGTCTAAGCTACATGGAACAAAAAGCTCTCAAAATACAAAGACCTAGTGGAGGGAATCAAAATCATTTAAGAACAGGACAAGGTATGCTTCATCCTGATTAACCTGTGTCTGATTAGTGGTAAATCCCCATACTATAAATCCAAGCCTCAAAAAAAATTCTTGAAAACTCAACCAATAAACTATGGTGGAACTAGAGTCTTAACACAGAACCATAACCCACATTCACTCAGATATTATAACAAATCACAAACGTGGAAATAGGTTGACATACCTATCAGTCCCCCCATCTGTTTTATAGTTGGCTAGAAGATGCTTTCAGAAAGCCTATGGAAGAAAAGCTTACACTGTAATGCTTTCATTCAACTGCATAACAGTCCATTGAACATTAAGCTAAATAAGAAGAATAATAGGAAGTACCTTTCCTCCAAGTGGTTTCTTTCTGAATTACATCAAATATATGAGGATGAAGATGATGTGATGATGATGATGTTACATAGTGTTCTAAAGTTTTCAAAACTCATGTATGCACATTATTTCATTCTTTATGAGCTTCGTGAGCTGATAAAATTAAGATCAGGAATTCCATTTTAGAATAAACTACAACTTTATCATCGTCAGTTACTTCTTCAACTGTTATGGTTGCTATCTGTGAGCTCAGGAAAACACAAGTCTTGACCATTAACCAACAATGACCCTCCACATTCTACAATTATGACCCAAAGGAAAGAGAACTCAGATCAAATACTGTAGGCAGAGCAGCTAGACTGCATCATCAAGCCTCAACCTACCGCTTCTCTAAGCTTCCTATAGTGACTCACCCCAGCTATTCTTTTTCCTTGCCAAATAGAGGCCTAATCAATTCACACAATACAGAAGTCCCTTTCCCATTCTTTGGCTCCCTGGGGAAATGTTCATATAATGTTCACTTAATTCAACTATTTTCTACAGCCCTGGCACTATGTAGAGTGCCCCAGGAAAACTCTGTCTTGTATATGCAGTCTTTTCTATCTCTATAATTTAAGGCTTTGATCTCTATAAAAATCAAAATACACAAAAAGGGGTAGGACTTTAATCAGTTAGTGATTTATACCCTAGTGAGAGCAAATTTTGATTGGAAGACAGCAAAGAGAAGTAAAGGATGTTGTCTATCTAAGGGGAGGATAAAGAATGCTATCTGGGGAGAAGAAGTGAATGAAAAAGCTATGGGAGTCAAGACAATGGCTTCTTTTGATCTTTTCTCTTTCGATTGCTGTCAATGGTATTGTGTTGCTGTTGCATTCCAAGAAGTTAACCCAGTTCAATTCCCAACCGATTGTTTTTTTTGCTTTTGGTTTTTGGTTTTTGGTTTCTTTAGGCAATTGGGGTTAAGTGACTTGCACAGGGTCATACAGCTAGTAAGTGTCAAGTGTTTCATCTGAGGCCAGATTTGAACTCGGATCCTCCTGGTTTCAGGGCCGGTGCTCTGTCCACTGTGGCCGCCTAACTGCCCCACAAATGATTGTTTTGAAGAAGAAACATGGTATGGTGAAAAAATAACTGACTGGATCTGAGTCTGGAAGACCTGGATTAGACCTGATTCTGCCACTTGCCAACTTTGTGACCTTAACCAACTCACTTTTCCTCTTTGGTTCTTTTTCCTCATCTGTAAAATAAAAGTATTGGCCTAGATAATATTAAGGTCCCTTCCAGACCTAATATTCTTTGAGTCTGTCCAATAACCTCAGAGGGACTTTTAAAATAGTGGATGTCTTTTCTAGCTACTTGTAATATAAACCATGTGCTTCCAGTAACTGGCTGTTTTTCAAAGGTCATATACAAAGGTAACTGGGTATTGGGAAGAGGGAATCAAGGTTTGAGCTTTCAGAACAGTGTGCTCCAGTTTTTCTAATTGAACCCTCATAAATAATCCCTCTTCCTTCTTGTAGATTCCATACTCAATGCTATAATATGACACTCTGAGATTTACAGATACACTTTCCCCCCTAGGGTCTTGTAGGCTTCCTTTGATAACACATGCAATTAGCTGTTTCCCTTTTCCATTAACATCTGCATATAATCACAGTCACTAATGCTAAAACAGGCCTATGAGGCAAACATAAATGAAACATGGAGTAGGAAATTTGTCTCCATTAAGTGGGCAACTGAATATCTTAAGGGGTCAAGATGTAAAAAATCTCTATGGAATGGATAAGAATCAACTGTATCAAATACCAGGAATTTGAACAGAATGCATATCTGTGTTTGAGACTTCAAGGTATTTCAGAAACATATTCCATTCCTCTACAACCCTCATTTTAAGTTTTACATGTGATTCTTCATTTCAAGGAAATATTTCTTATAATAAGAGCCATCCAATAATGAAATGAGCAGCCTCTTTGGGAAGAAGGTATCCTGTCACTGGAGATCTTCAAATGCAAACTGGATGCACACTTCTCAGATACGTAGAACTGAGAAGTACTGTTCCAGTTCAGATAGATGTGGCCTCTGAGATCCCTTCCTACCTATAGTTCTATAATTCCATAATTCTGTTTTTATATGATCAAATTAGATAATATAGAATATTTTTATAAACCATAAAGTGCTATATAAAAGTTAGCTATTATCATCATTATCATCACAATCATGATCATCATTTATTGGAGTCTCAAATTTATTTAATCTTTTGAGAGAGGGTTTAAAGTCTGATGACAAATAGGATCTAGAAATATATTCTAGTCTATTCAGTTTCTCTAATTCAAAAATGATCAGTAGCACATTTCTGCTGATGATCCAAAGATTTTGCATTCCATTTCTATAGACTCTAGATTCACTTCCATTTGAGATGAATTCCCTTTGACTACATCCTTGCAATAAGAAAGATGTGCTCTATGTGTTTTTTTGATGATCTTAAAAATGTTCCCAAGGCATCCATTTTATTATATATATATATATATATATATATATATATATATATATATATATATATATATATATATATATATACACATATATTTGTGTGTGTGTGTGTATGAAATGCATATATATATATATGAATGTACATATAAAATACAGGCATGCTTATATACATATAATATGTGCACATATACATATATATGTGCACATGTAAGCATATATATGAAATGCCATGTCAGACCGTCAGATCAACCTGCTACATTCCCATACTTACCTTTTCAAAAACTACTGATAACTACACCAACCTGAACATTTACCAAGATGTAAAAGTCAAGAGAAAATAAAAACTTCCACTCATCAAAAATTTCGCTTTTGCTCCACATTTATTTCACAACACTGGCATCAGGGGTTTGAGCACTGTCAATAGGGAGTGATTTTTTTTTCAGTTGGAAGGAAGGGAAATTATATAGATACATACTAATTAGTGGGGAAATGAGAATTTAATTACCAAAGAACTTGAATTCTTACTAAGAACTGTTGATGAATGTGTCCTAAAAAGTTCAATTCATGTAAATCTTATTGGAGCTGAATAGGAGAGATAAAGCACATCTGATATTTTTCATTCCTGGCTAAAATATGTATACAGACAACTCAAAAAGTACTAGTTCACCAGCCTGTATTTATAGAGCACCTTTCTTCCATGAGGTATAGGCACTGTTTTACAATTAGTTTACTCAATGTTTCTTCTGACAATGTTTGCAAAATAGCTTCATTAATGGGCTAAGCAAAATAAATAAATACATAAATAAGTCCCTCAGTTCATAGGATTATAAATTTAGAGCTGAAAGGCCATCAGTTACAACCTCCCTCATTTTACAGATGTAGAAACTGAGGCCTATGGAGGTTAAGTGACTTGCCCAGGCTCAGATAAGTCGCAGGAGTCAAAGGCAGGATTTTAATTGAGGTCTTCCTAACTCTGACCAATGCTTTATCCATTTCCTCAGCTAGATGCCCCTAGTTCTAATCCTGTTGCTGCCAAAAGGTCGATCTCATTTGTTTTCCAAGATGGCATAGGGAATATGTGAAACTGGATGCTGCTCCAGAAAACAACAAACTTACTCTTGTCTCCTCTGTCTTTAGAAAGGAAAATCTTCCAGCTCTGTTTCCTATTTGAGCTGATCTTTCATCTCACTACTGTCTTTCACTGCTTCATGCTTCTAAAAGTAACCTATATTCACTGACTCTCCTTCCCCACCATCCATTCATTCTTTAACCACTTGCAAAGGGTTTGATTGTAACTTCCCACTGAGGTCACCAAAAGCCTTCTAATCCCCAAATCCAATGATCTCTTTTCAATCCCTATCCTCCTTGACTTTTTTAAAGTATTTTTTTTATTTTATCAACCTATTTTTAATGATCTCTCTTTCTGTAGTTTCTTAGTTTTTTCTAAAGGTTTCTGAATATTCTTTTATCTATTTGTTCAATATTGAACTGCTCTGTCCTCAGGCCTATTCTCTTCCTACAAACTCTTCTTTGGCAATCTCATCCACTATCATCACGTGATAGGACCAGGGTTCTCCCTATTTCCCCATAACATGCATTGTTGTTGTTCAGTTGTATCTGACTCTTTGTGACCCCATGATCATAGGGTCCAGGTCTTCTTGGCAAAGAAAAGGGTGTGATACTATTTCTTTCTCCAGTGGATTAAGGCAAACAGAGGTTAAGTGACTTGCCCTGGGTCACACAGCTAATAAGTGTCTGAGGCCAAATTTGAACTGAGGTCTTCCTGACTCTAGGCCCAGCACTCTAACCACTTAGACATCTAGCTGCCTCATAACATGGATTAGTTCTGATAAAAGGCAACAAAATAGTCTCTAGGAATTGATTATCCCCTACCTCCTTTAAGCTTCAATTCACATCTCCAACCTCTTCTCTCTTGAACTCTAGACCCACATGTCCAGCTGCTAAGGAGATATATCAAGGTGTTTATCTGACTGGCATCTTAATTCCATCCAACAAGCATTTATTAAGGCTGTGCATCAGTGTTATCAAACTCAAATAAAACAAATCCCTGTGGGTAGCACATTGACTTAGAAAACCATAAATTAACATTATGCATGTTATATTGTATTTTTCTTTTTTAAAAACATTTCCCAATTATGTTTTAATCTTGTTCGGGCCACATTGTTTGCCTCATGGTCTGCAGGTTTGACACCTTTAATCTACATCACACCAACCACTAGAAATACAAAGATAAAACGTGAAAAAAATAAAGGAGTGGAAAAGGCACTGGTTGAGTCACTGTGTGATTGTGGACAAGTCACTTGATTTATCTAAACCTTAGTTTTCTCATCAACACAAGGACTTTGTTACTTCTTACCTAGACCATTGCAATACCCTTCTAATTGCTCTCCCTGACTCAATTCTTTTTCATCTCTAATCCATTCTCAACTCAGCTGCCAAAGCAATTTTTCTAAACTGCAGATATAACTATGTCACCTCCCTACTCAACAAATTCTAGTGGTTATGGATTACCTCATGAGGTTCTGTATCTAGTTTTTAAGCCTTTCACAACCTGGCTCCACCTTGTTCCTATACCTTAGTCACCTCCACATACTCTATGACCCAGCCATGTGGCTTTCTTCATGTTCCTCACACATGAATCTTTTATTTTCTTAATTGAAAATAATTATTGCATAAATACCTTGATTACATTTATTTTTTAATTAAATATTTATTTTTAGTTTTC